AGTTAGCATTTGAGTGACTGGGAAATATCTGGCAGGCGATTCGGGGCCACTTTCAAAAACAAATCCAATGTCCAATTTTCGGGATAGCCAGGCTAGCTCCCACAGTCAACCCAGCCTCCACGTCAGAGCCTGGCAAGCTACACGTTAGGTATCAATCGCCAAAAACAGTAAATAGGCCTCATACCCTTGAACCTGGAGGAGCCCCCCATACGGCAGCGTTGGGTAGTACCGCTCAGTAGAGGCTGCTGAAATCTCGGAGCCAAACGGGCCGCCCAAAAGTAGAAGGACTAAGATGGCAATCTGTACTTTCAGTGCACGAACGCTTGCATCGGAAGCTCCGCAAATAATTAACTTCGGCCAGCCTCAAAAATCCCATTTACAAATGAGGTAAAATCCCTCAATATGATCTCGTCATAATAGTTATTATTGACTTTTGACAGAATACGCCAAAAACAAGGAACCCATTGGTACGAGTTTTCTACCACTCTGCAAATCAGGAACTGCAGATCACAAAAAAGCACATTTAGCAATGGAGATGAAATATCGCAGTTCTCACCATACCAGTCAGTGTTAACCTTTCATAGATCACGCAAATACATGACACCCGTGAATATAACTTTCTATCACTCTGCGAATGAGGAACTCCGAATTTCAATAATCACACATAGCAAATGAGCAAATTATCAGCCAATTTTGAATGTAGCCGGAAAACGACTGACAGTGAACCTACTAGTATAGTTTCCTATCATTCTGCAAAAAGAAATCCATCGGATTCTGAAAACCGAATCTAGCAAATGCGAATAAAATCTCTTAAGATGTGGTCCCATCAGGCAATTTTAACTGTAGGAAGAATACGCCAAAGACAAGAAACCCCTGAGCATAAGTTTTTTATCATTCTACAAACCAGGAACTTCGACGGATCACCAAAGCCACGGTCACAAAAGTGATAAAATCCTATAGTTTGATATAATCATATTAGTCGATTTTGAATGGTATAAGTTTTTCATTACTTTGCGGGCAAAAAAATCTAGCAGATACCAAAAATCGCATCCAGCAAAAAATATGAAAATCCATAGTATGATCTTTGCAACGTTCTGCGAAAGAGGAATTTCAGCGATTCTCAAAAATCGTATTTAACAAAAGAAATGGACGCATAGTTTGACGTCGTCATATCAGTCAATATTGACTTTTGACAGGGTTCAAAAAACAGGAAGCTTTTGGGTATAAATCTTTTATCACTTCACAAATGAGATACTTCAACGAATCACAAGAATTACACACAGTAAAAGACGGGATATCATATAGCATGATATCGCCATATCATTTGATTTTGGTGGCGAACAGACTAAGACAAAGATATGAAACCCATGAGTATAAATTTTTTACCACTTCACCTGAAGGAGCTTCTGCGAAACACAAAAATCATATTTGTCAAAAGAAATGGCATCCTTTAGTGTGGTCTTCGCTATAAATATTGACTTTAAGCAGTACACGACAGAGACAGGAAACCCATGGGTATATTTCACCTGCGGAAGTCAAAGTGATTTGGTGTGAAAAACGGGCTTCTGAGCGAGCCCATTTCTGACCTAATATGACGTCCTATGTCGTCGTGACTATTAAGTGGAAAGCGAGATAATCGATCTGTTGGACCCTGCAAATTGGCCAAAACCTTCATAGAATAAGTGCTCTCAAAAAGACAAGGGACATACTCTATTCAGTGTGTCATCTTAACGACTGCGTCAACACTGCACGATGGAGTGAATACAATTCGCTTATCCGTGTGACACAGCGGTATAACACAAGGGGAAGTAGTTCCGTAATTTTGTTCTCAAAATTTTCCACAAATTCAATACGCATATCCGAGATCAGCTTCCGAAAGCCCTTACGGCGGTTCACATCGCATCTTCAGTGACCCCTGCGCTTTGGTATCCTTCCGTTGTGAGTCAATAATCACAGATTGCTGGTTGCTGTGCAAACAAAAAGCAGTAAATAGGTGAAGGAAACTCAAACAATGTTACCACGAAATCGAGAAGAAAATTCGAATGCCTTATAAGGTTTATATAGATAACTCGAAAAGAGTTTGAGGAAACAGTCAAATAAATTAGTGGAAGAAGATGAAGTTTCCATAAAAAGCGAAAAAACTCGCGACAAAGTGTCTATGTTATCGGCATGAAGGGTTCTGCACTTAGCTAGTTCGAGGTACTGCACCCTGAGGACGGGGCTCGGTAGTCATACGATTGAGGAGCACAATGACAGCAATTCAAAATAAATTACTAATTAGTGATTCATTGGGCGGAGACTTCAACGATGAAGAAGTTAGAGGCTCCTGGGTTTTCCAAGCGAAAGTCAAAATGAACATTGGTGAACGTGGAATCGATGAGCGATATTTAGGTCTGGAGAAAAAGAATGCGTCGTGTCGTAAATCCAACAAAAAGAATTGAATTAACAAGTCGCTACACCTGAAAACCTGATTATTGTAATCACAAACAGCTGCGCCGAGGTTAAGGCAAAAGAGAGGTTGAAGATTATACAAGGTGCGCAATGAATCGGACGCCAATAATTTCTTTGTTGGAGAGTTGCTCTAAATCTGCACCTCCTCTTATGTTTACTATATACCGTAGCCCACATATCTGTTTTTGGTGAGTCCTTTTCCCGGATCGCTTTTGGCTTAAACATTTCTTACGGGACAGTATCTCGAATCGCGATGCGCGGACAGGTCAACGGCAAACCTCAAAATGTTCGTCTTATCTTTCACACGACCTCCTTTCCCAATATAATTGTTCTGGACGAAGTACGCTGCGGAACCTGTAAAAACACTAGAAAAATGACCACTGATTTGTTTGTTCGCTCCGATGAGAGGAGTCTACCCCGAGTAAATACAGTTGTATCCGGCTAGAATTTGAAACCTTTTATGCTATTTGACGGAAAAGTCGGAGAGAAAAACTAATGCCGTGCATTACTTGGGTGCGGCATTCATTCATTTCTCTTTTTCATGATAGTTTGAGCTAGAATCTCTATCATCAGAGCCATATAGCAAATTTTGGTCGGGAAAAGTACAAAAACTAATCCAAACCTCTTAAAGAAGGGTTTTTCTGAAAAGATGCAGCGTGGGGTCGAAGATTCTTTTAGGGACACGGTTTGAAAACTACGGCAGACTTGCTCACGAATGGGAAAAGTTCAAGACTGGTGTTTGAAAAATATTCGCGACTTTACCCCAGCTTCTAATTCTACTACGAACTTCCAGGGCCACAATGGATGGGTCGCTGTATATACCGCATACTAGAAAGGAAAGTTTGCGCTTCAAATCGTACCACTCTTGCTGCTCCTAAGAAATCACTGAAAAAGCCTGGACTGGAGTTTCTCGAAAAACTCTGCGTAGCACCGTCGATGAGTAGCCAGAGCGTCTTCATGCTATAATTTGTACAGGAGAGGGTCATATAAGATAACTGTGCGCTCGCTCTGAAGATGCAATGCACACTAAATACTTCACACGAATTCACCATGCAACTCGATACTTTTAATACCATTTCTATGACGCACCCCGTATGCATATATTTATATTACACTGTGTTTGATGCTGCTGTTAATTGTCTTCAGTAGCTCTATCTAATGTTTGTACTAGAGGTTGGCTTATACTGTACTGCGGAAAATAAATACCGGTAGCGATATGATGTTTGCGCATTTACCACTAGACTCAGTTGCCTCGCCCTTGAGAGGGTACGATGCAGTTACGTGAATACTAAACAGTGACATCTTGGTGGAGATAGCGTATTTTACCTCGCTCTCTTCCGGTCAATTTTTTTATACTATATCTCGAATCATTCTAATTCATGACGCTTTTAACGAGTTTTTTGGCAATGCTTGGGACCATGGCATCGAAACGATGTTCAGGAGCTAGTTTATGGGAAAAGATCTGCAATGCGTAATCTAGACGCTTATGTAGTTCTGGCTCAGTCTTACTCAGTACGTAAAGTACTGGATGATTTTCATAGGTGCAGCGGCTGAATATGTAGGTTTTTCTTTTCAAGAGGAGCTCGTTCTCAAAGTCTGGTCGTTCGGCTGTGAAGCCATTCGTAATTGGCCGCTTCGTTGGAATTGAAGCTTGATTCATTCCCTAAAAGCATTGCTAACTGTTAGCGTTACAAAGTTGCTTTGAAACTTCTTGATTGTTGGTCGATTCGATACGCACTTTTAAGCCGTACTGGTTAATAGACCAAATAGCGTGATCCCTCAAAATATTTCCTTCACTGAAGAAGTACACGAATTTCGATCCTATGTAATTCATGGTTGCAAATGTTGCAGACTGTTGGTATAATTCGCCCTGTATATATGTTCCGAAGCTTTGTTCCAGATTTGTATGGCTCGTTTACCATCCTGTTTTGAATTGTGACGTCCATCGTGTTTTCCGAGGAATGATACATTGTTCAATGACTGTTGTTTAGTACAACGTTCCAGTCTTCAGTAAACATTCGGACCGTTCAACCGAGATTGTAAAAATACTTTATTATTCTGACATTTCGGTGCTTTCACCTTCATATATGCTTGAACAGACAAGAGTCGTTCGAGGAATAGTCCGGTTAGGCACTATTTCAATCTACAGATAAATTTCAAAGGGCATGGACTACGAAATCAGGAGTTGTTATCCAGACTTTAAGACTGGTGACCTGTGAGTTCCACCGACCACCCCAAGCTGGTATGACTGCGGTTTAAATAGGGTGAGACTTAGGTCAAGTTGCTTTAGGAGCCTCCAAGTTTCTCGTCACGTAGATCAATCTCCTCGTAAGCCACACAAGGTCGAACATCCGCTGACCCCAATCAACTTCTATCGATTATTGTGTAAGTTCCTTGACCTCGCCCAGCCGAGGACCCCATAGAGAATCCACAGCGTAAGTCAAAAGCAACAAGTGCAGTCATACGACCATGTACTAGACCAAGCAGGTCTTCAGGGCATTGTGGGAGTTGTGGTACCCCAGCCTCGTACCCTAAACAACGACTGATCCAAAATCGCCTGTATGACCGCTTGTATCCAACGCTTTGCCCTTGTTTTGAGTAATGAGACTGCACGACATCCGGTGTTGAACATATAATATTGAGTGATCGAAAAAGAGAGTGAAGAGGAGTACACCGGGAGAAAAGGCAGATTTCTTCGCGTTAAAATAAAAGAGCACCTAGATGGCATGCAAACTCCAGGAGAACATAGGACATGATGTGATGGGAGTACGAGGTTTGATGTGACATCCCCGATATTATCACGTGAATCCGATATCAGAGGCTATCACAGAGCTGCAGTGCTATGCGGGTTTTGACCTTCGCTGCCGTTTCCCCCAGAGGTCCTATCGGCGGGCGGGGTCAGGGGGCTTATATCGATCACCGTAAGTTGGAAGGGGTCAGCGGCGCGCCTGGCCTTGAGGGTTTTTGAGGGACTTGATCTACAAGATCAACCCCTTAGAGGTGATCTACAAGATCAGCCCCTTAGAGGTGATCTACAAGATCAGCCCCTTAGAGGCTCGTGAAGCAAATTGGCCTGAGGCTCACCCTATTTGAACCGCAGTCATACCAGGTTGGGGTGGAGATCTCACAGTTCGACTATCCTGAAGGTTAGTTACCAGCTTCTGACTTCGTAATCCACGCCCTTTGAACTTTCCCTGTAGATTGAAATAGTGCTCGACCGAATGGTTTCTAAAATGCCTTTTGTCGTTCCAGACTTCAAGAAAGGTAGAAGCACCGAAAAGCCTGTCTCATAAAGTATTGTTACAATGTCGGCTGCTTAGTTTAAAAAGAAAATCTAACAGCTTGCTATAATTATTACCAGAAGGCATTCGATTTTATTGAAAAAAGTCAGTGAGATACGAATTAGCTAAATTTCTTGATGAAATGAGTGAAATTAAGACCATGCATTTCTCACACTGGTCTCACCATTCTAATACCAATTTTCTTCACAAATGATGAAGTTGGCCATGCGCCAATTTCAAATCACAGCAGTTTCTCAAAATGAGAAATGGCAAATATAAGTTAATGCCTGTTCTCGGAAGATGATATGCATATTATCCAAAAAAATTACTTCTCCATAGCTTGCAAATTTTTTGCTTGAAGTCAAGAGGGAAAGTCGTAGTCGTTCAAAAACCGATACACGGCATGATTTTATGAAGAGCATACGTTTTTTTTTTTTGCAAGTAAGATTTCCGATGATCTGGGAGAATCTTCGCACAGCATCGAAAGTATCCAAGCTAAAATCTCTCCGACCAATCACTGACTGCCAGGAATTATTTGTTTTCTAGAACCTCGGACTTCATGCAGGCTCCCGATATCGCCTCTAAACTCGTGAGGCTGGATCTTGTTTTCTTCCCATCAAGTAGAATTCTGAAAACCTAGGTAAATTAAATTTGCTTTCAAGAGGCTACTCAGTAATATGAGAATCAATCCACGGATATTCCTTCAGCACCATCTTTTTTGCCATAAGGTTATCCCGGCCACCCAATTGGCTCTCCGGCGCAGCTGGCCAAGACGTAAGACTGATTGAGGATGCTGCGATGTGCGGCTTCAACCGAACATCCCTGAACCTTCGCGCTCTTGATTGGATGGATGCACCTTCTACACAAGACCTTTTTGAATGAAGTAGGCGTCAGGCAGAAAAAAGATGCCTGGTTTCTACCGAGATGTTGTCATACTTTCAGGTTTTATTAAGTGAGGATCTTATTTCCAGTTTTAATCTGTACTGATTCTATCTCACAAATGTATTTCATCAGTTGATGGGCATCCTCTTCCGCAGATATTGACAGACGCTTTGTGACCCACGATATCAAAAGTACAATCAAATATATACTTATTGCATTTAACATCGTGAGCAAGGCAACACTTCTGCTCTTGATCTACCCTATAATCGCACTTGAAATTCGGGATTTAATGGACTTATCTGAAGCTCGAAAATTTCATACATGTACAATAGTACTTAAAGTCTCCGGCCGAATGCTTATTCAGTTCTACTTTACAGTTGAGCTTTGCCATTTCAATAGGTGTTGAAGAACGTGACGTGATCGCAGGCCCCTCAGACGGAAATTGATAACAACTGATGGGAACCGACAACGAGCCTTGTAGGGGGGTGGGGCGACACAAAGTTCATAACGCCCTTCGTGTTAACGGTGAAGTCTTGACACTTTAGTAGTAGTAGTTTGTGCGGCATGTGAAGGGAGCGTATACGATTGGTGACGGAAAATGGCAACAACTGTTGGGAACTGATAAGAGCCAATGAAGGCGAGGGTCATTAGGTCTGTAAGGCCCTTCATGTTTACAGTTGAGCCTTTCCATTTCCATAAGCAATGTGGGATGTGACGTGATCGCAGCTCCCCTCAGACAGAAATTGATAACAACTGATTTGAAGTGATAGGGAGCCTCATCAAGCATAAGCCACTAAACAACTGAATCCTTCGGTTTTTACGATCTAATTCGTCTCATTGGTATCTCTCATCCAATAGGACGGATATGTGCAATGATAGAGGCCGATTAACGGTAGTACATTATAAGGAGACGAAAATTTTGTTCATTGTTCGCGATCACCGAGCAAGGTTGTTACTCACTGAAGGTCACGGTTACTCTTCGTTCCGATATACTCTCGACAAAACCAATCTGACCGCTAATGATTATGATTCTCACACTGATATAGCTTTGAAGAGAAGAGTCCCGTTGATAACGACATTTTTGAGCTTCGGTTGCTTGACAGTTGAATTTTCGATGAATGATTACTCCAGTGATAAGCAAGAGTTAAAGACTCTTATCCATGGGCGTCGTCATCGGAACATATTTAATTACTTTTGCACTGCCCTGTCAGCACTGTGTCATAATTCCTGCACAGAAAAGAATCATTTGTTCCAAAAAAAGCATCAATTTAGCCGGTTTTCACAAATCAGTCATAAGAGGGAAAGCGATTCGATAGCTGCAAAAATTTACGAAACGTACTCGAATGCCGTTGTCCAAAGAGATTTTCAGCTGAACTAATGTTATTTCTACGACAAATGCTCCGACAAATAAATTACAGGGCGCGTCTGTGACGGCTGAAGGGAGACGGCTTTTGTTAAGGATAGCTAGACTTTTTTTCCTCAAAGAAACCTGGTAGTTATTTCGTTACGCAGAGAGTTGGCATTGTGTCGGAGAGTATGCCAGCAAACAACACGGAAGCGCCGCCCCCTGTAGCTCTTGTCGGTGATCGAACGAGTGAGTCTTCCCACTGTATATGAGCCACCTGAGATCACCTACTTCAACTTCGCATGAAACACCATCATCGGTTCCAAGAAGAATGTCTACTGTGACGAGATGACCTCAAGTACCTAAAGATGAGAGGACAACCTCGCAATGGCAGCTGCATTCACTCAACCGCTGCCCAGCTGCTGACACCATTCATGTGTTTCTCTTTTCATAATAGTTTATTGCACTTATATAACGCACTGTCTATTTCCGTATCTACGCACTGATTCCCTTTAGAAGAATAATTTTTAGTTCCTTCCCTTCCCAAGAGGAAATGATAAATAGCTTGGTCGTCCCGCACTATGAGTGATAATACAAATATCACCTGTCACCTGCCGCTTCGTTCATCATCGATTCCCTCGAGTGAGCGTCAGTAACGTCTCCATTAGTCCTTGTCGCAAGATAGAGCGATCCAGTGAGTCGTACTCACTTGAGGGACACAGGATAAAACACTATTTTTGTGCAAAGCTCTCGTGGAGAAAAGTGACAAACGAGCCGGCCGCCGGCTTCGTGTTCGTTTGACGTTCTGAGGGATCCAGTCCGTAACCGCACTTGGTCCAACTGTCATCACCGTATCGCATCTAGTGTCTGGCCCACCTGATTTTCAACTTCTTGGCGTAATCAACGGCATCCCTGAACTTCGTTCGTTGTCGGGGCTCGGAACTCCAAACTCCCTTCTGCACTTGCGTGAATAGGAACTTCCGAGCATCGTGTTTTCCACAACACTTTGAATGACGCTGAATGCATGATCTTCCTGCTTTTGTAAAGCCCATGATATTGGGACGTATGTCAAAGCAGGAAGGACCGCAATTAGCCCTATGTTATTTGGCTTCTTTACTGATAACTCGATGTTCTTAAACACTCCCCACGCCA